CCATGGTCCAGTGCAGTCAAGTCCCAGCCTGCGCAGAACGCTGCTTCCGCCGTGAAAGTCCGTGAAACTCGGCCATGCCATGATGGTGGAGCCGGTGGTCAGTGTCGCACTGCGTGAGTGCGCGACGAGCCATTGGCACTTAACATGGAATGCAGCATTTCTTAAAGTTCCTGCAGAGCTCAGACACCAAGTCGTCGAGACACTAGCAGCATGCAAGGAGGATCCGAGTGGTCGTATGGGACACAACGATGTCGCTCGTGACAAGGGATTCGTTGTTCAGGTCCGTCTCGAATAATCCTTGCTAACCTCTATCGCTATTTGGCACCATCGCAATCGGAATAGTCCAACGCGACCTTGAACACGTCGTCAAACTCTTTGGCAAAGTGGACGTCGAGCCCGTCCTTCAGGTACTCTGGCAACTCGTTAAAATCCTTTTGGTTGCCAAACGGCAGCACGAGCGTCGTGACGCCGGACCGACGGGCAGCAATCGTCTTCTCTTTGATTCCGCCCACGGGCAACACTTTGCCCGTCAACGAAAGTTCGCCCGTCATGGCGAGATCGGCCTTGACAGGTCTACACAACCATCAGTGTGTGCTACTGCGCATGATGGCATATCAAGTGTACTTATTCAGGGCCAACGACAGCAGCGCCGTCACCATCGTGCAACCTGCAGACGGCCCGTCCTTTGGCGTAGCGCCTTCTGGGACGTGCAAGTGAATATCCGATTCAAAGAACGCATTGTCGGGGTCGATCTATCCATCAAGACGTCGATGCATACATCATATCGCGCAGATGCCAAGGACCGCACCAGTTCCAACTTGTGGCGCGCATACGTGTGCGCAATCTTGGTGCTTTCTTCCATGACGCTGCCCATTTGACCGGTAGACAACAAGCTGCCCTTGCCACCTGTAGCAAACCATGTGAGAAACATCCCCTAGTGACGCCGACAGTGCGGACGCACCTTTGCTTTGAACGGTGGTTGTCTCGATATAGAGCGACGACCCTCCCATGGCCGTCCACGCAAGACCCATCACGACACCAGGCTGCAATGTTTCGTACATGCGTTCTCTAGTCGCACAAGTTGCATCAATCCACAAGGCTACATCGAGAGCTCCAACGAACGACGTAAAGCGGGGCTGGCCGACGTATTTGTGCAGTTTGTCGGGGGAAATATTGAAGTTTGCGACCACATCGTCCGACCCGGCCTCCTTGGCCAGATTTTCGACGACTTCTAGCGCGACTTTGCGAAAAATCTTCTCAATGTGCTGCTCCAGGTTGCGCACACCAGCTTCACGGCAATACCGCTTGACGAGATCTTGAATCGAGTCGTCTGGGAGGGCCAAAGATGGCGGGACATGCTCCGAGTCCTTGAGTCCGCTCTTCTCCAGCGCCTTTGGAACCAAGTACTGGTTGGCAATCGCGACCTTTTCCGGCCCGTCGTAGCTAACACCACGTGAAAACCCTGCCGACAACGTGACATGTGTACCCCGACAATCGGATGACCTCCATGCGGTCGAGCAGGGGCCCGGGAATGGTGTCGGTGACGTTGGCTGTGCACACAAACAGAACTCGCGACAAGTCGACTGGAACGTCGAGGTAATGATCGACAAAGGACGTGTTTTGCGAAGGATCGAGCAACTCGAGCAAGGCCGACGCCGGGTCGCCTTGGTAGCCTCGCCTACCGACAAGATTCGATCAGTGCCAATGCCGCAAAAGGCCTCGAACGCGTCGGTACCCGAGCTTGTCGATTTCGTCGATCAGAATCAACGGGTTGGAACTCTGCGTCGACTTGAGGCACTGAATCACCTTGCCCGGCATCGCACCTATGTACGTGCGACGGTGGCCTTTGATTTCTGCCACATCGCTCAACCCGCCGACCGAAAACCGGTAGAATTCCCTGTTCAGCGATCGCGCGATCGACTTGCCAATGCTCGTCTTTCCGACGCCGGGGGGACCGACCAGGCAGATGATGCGCCCTTGGACTTTACCTACACGACCGCCGTTGACGGGCATGCCAACACGGATCGTACCTAGCAGCTTGGACACGGCAATAAACTCGAGAATGCGCTGCTTCACGTCCGAGAGGCCGTAGTGGTCGGCATCCAAAATCATCTTTGCCGCAACAATGTCAAAGTTTTCCGTCGTGGATTTCCCTGGAAAATCTTGTCAAGCCATCGACATCGAGTCCACACTGACCCCATGGCAGCAGCGTGAGCCAGTCCAAGTAGTTGCGGGTGACGTTGAATTCGGCCGAGTTTTTCTCGAGCATGGCGAGCTTGTTCATTTCGTCTTCAACGACATCCAGAATGTCTTTCGGCACGTGGCTCAAATGCGCGTCTACGGCGGACAAGTTACTATCAGCAAACGATTCGACTGCAACGCGATCACTCGACCTGGGGTGTCTGGGTTCGGCGGAATCTTAAAGTTGTCGAGACGCTGGCGAAACTTTGTTAGCATCGCTTCCTTGTCGTCCTTCTCCAACCCCAACTCTTTCTTGATGGTTTTCAACTGCTCCATGAGCAAGTACTGCCGCTGGTTCTTGGTCACCTGGGTCGGTTCAGAACGACAACGCGTCGGGAGCTGGATCCACGCACCTTCTCTTCGACTTGTTCCTTGATCGATTGCTGGACTCGAGACAGCTCCATCTCCTTCGTGAGCAGCTCGAGCGCTTTCTTCAGACGGTTTTCACAATCCAATTCTTCCAGCACGCTCTGCAGCTCTTCACCGTCGCCCGTCGTCACCTGGCAACGACTTGTTAGCATGCAACATCTCCCGAGAGCTCGACGCACCGACGCCGCAAAATCCGCAAGTATGTACGGATTGTGGATGTCGATCCGCTGCGAGTAGTACTGCATGTGCTCCTTGAACAGCGGGTTCATTTTCACGATTTCACGCAGCGTGGCCACGATCTCGTTCGAATACGCCTTGATCATTTGGTTCGACTTGTCAAATGCGGGGTTTTCGACCGGAGAAATGGTCACGCGCAGCGGTATAGTGCCGCTAGACAGTACATTGAAATCCTTGGCTAATGAACGCACTGCACGGACCTGTCGTGGACGTCGTCGATCGTGATGCGGCGCTGGCCAACCAAGAGCAGTTGGGCCGCACTGTTGTTTTCAAAGTTGATGAGGTTGTCAATGCGTGCGTAGCTCCCCACATGATGGATCCCGCTCAGATCGGTCACGAGATCCTCGTCCTTTTGCGATTCCATGCCAGTGAACCCCATTTCGTCCTGGATCCACACCGATCGGAGACATGAAAAGAGGGGAACGCAACAGCAGTACCTTTGAAGCCGCACCGATTTTTCCTCCTTGTTTCTTCAAGAACACACCGACGTACTTTTGGCCGCTTTCACGAAGCGCGGCGAGAGCCTTCGTGACGTCCGGGTTCGTGATCGTCATGGGAAGGACAACGCCCGGAAACAACGGCCGCTTGTGCGTTGGAATCACCAGTACGTGCGGCACCATGGGCGCTTTCTCACCTTCACCAAAGGTTGCAATGCTCTTGGATGCCGGGATTTCGTCATCGTCTTCATCGTAATCTGCACCAGAGGTCAAGGTTCGAGCATCGCTGGATACGAACGTACTCTTGATGTCGCTGAATGCACGGCACCAGCGCGGCGCGGAAGGACGGTGCGCAGCATAGGGAAGTCGCACGTGTGGTCTTCCAAAGCAGCGTTGCAGGCCGGACGCGGCGGCTTGCGTGAGTCTCATGGTGGATGGAGCGACTTCCAGAAGAATCCAATTCTGGGTTCAAATTGTGGTCAACATGCAAAATCCAACCAAGTTCGATTGGATATATTTCATCCAACGAATAGAAAGAAATGTTTTAATTGGATCAAATAAAGCAGGTTACAGCCAATCAAGACAAACTCTCTGCGAACTCGATGCAAACACACACTGCCCATGGACAATCAGAGCGGTGGACACCACAGGCCATGGCTCCTTCGTGCATGGAAATCCAGCGTACGATATGAATAATCGTCGAGATTACTTCTTTTTTGTGGCACGAATCAAGTGCAACAGCTAGCCATCGCCAACGAATTCATGACTCAGAAAGAGCTGGTCGATCCGCCAAATGCACCAGACAAAAATTGTTCGAAGCCATCGCCACGCCACACGCTCAGCCCGTGAACGCTCAGCGTCTCGGATGATTGCGATCATGCCGCACGGACTCGAACTACCACATAATGTCGACGGAGCTGCGGTCGTGAAGACGAGTCGTCTACACCAATGTGACGAGCTACGATGATGCTTTTGTACGAGAACAACGGCGTGAAACGCCTCGTCACGGAAGAAACTGGGTGTGGACGCAAGTATGTCATGGCGCACGCCCAGAAGTCACCATATTTGCACCGTGGGCAACCAACCGGACTTTGGTAGTGGGCACAAGTGGGGTACTGTTTTCCTGACGAGCTTTGTACGTTCTCGGGTTTGCCATGTTCCGGCCACTTTGGAATCTGGTGGGACTGCGCCAACGACAAGCACCCTGCTGAGGGATGTATAAAGAGATTGGAATCAATTAATAAATGAACTAAACGCTGGGGTAGCAACCTAACTTACTCAACCACCACCACCGATGCAACAGAAGGGGATTACTCCAAGCACATGGGAATGGGTGTGAAATCTTCTACGGAGGTGAGCTTGGCCTTCAAAGGCGACTCGTCGCAGCTCAGGGTGGTCTCGCTGTCGCAGTCGCTGTCGGTGTCCATGCCGCAGTCCTTGGAATGGACGAGGTTCTAAAAGAGTTTTTGCATGAGTTCCACAATGAATTGCACGGAACATTAACGCGACGTACCTCAAGGTAGAGTCGCATCGTGTTGCTCTGTCGCGCCACCATCGACACGATTTGGTCGGCAAGCAGAGGCAGTGATCGTGTGTCGTTCACGACATGCAAATCCCATGGAAACACGTTGTAAAACGCCAAGCAGTCTTCCATCTTGGATCGTTTGTGCTCCATGTATCGAATGCGCTCGGGTTCGTCTTGCAGCCGTCGTTGGATGCGGCGCCATAGCAATTCGCGCTCGACGTTAATATGCAACGTGACGAATTCGATTTCGGCAAACTTGGACACTTCATCCATCTGAGAGCGGATGACGGGTTCGAGTAGGTTGCCGTGGGCTGCGTAGAACACCGCACTGAACGGCGATCGGTCGGCAAAGTAAACTTGTCGCTCAGCGTGAGGCTTTTGCGATAACTGGAGGACGCGGTCAAACCTGAATGTTAGTCAGAGCAAGATCAGCAAAGCAAGAGGCAAAGGGTATGGCGTACCAAGAGCACACCCACTTTGTTTCCATGAACAGGGACTGAGGATGCAGCGAATGCGCCGGCATGTCGAGAAAGTTTTCGTCCAAGATGCGAAATCCGTTGGCAGCAAACTCGTTACAGAGCGACGTTTTGCCGCTTCCTACATGGACATCACATGAATGAGAGGAGGCTGCATGCATGTCGGGCAGGGCCAAGCAAATTGCTTGTACCATGGCATCCTTCCAGGCACACAACCAGCATCTTGACCGCAAGATGGAGAATGGTCAAGTTGCCGCCCCGCTAAGGACTTCGACTCAAAATTCGAATTTTTGAGTTTCAAGCGTGGCGGCGACATTTGAAAATTCAACTTTCCACGCTGAATTTGTATGAAATTAAATTCCAAACAATTTATTCAGCAACGTCTCTGCGTCGAAGCGGGAGGCATCTCAACTTCGGCTTGGGGGAAAACCCGCGGCAAATCTTTTTGACCAATCATCACTGTTCAAATAGAGTTTTCGAACTTTGATTCGTTATAATATATAGAAAGCTGATTGGTCCATGCCCAGGTTCGAGTTGGGAGGGCTTGTCGCTGATTGGTGGATTCAATAACACCAAGATACCAAGATGCCACCTCCCGAGTGCCGCCGAGGGGGTGCGCCGCCGTCGGGCATGGGACCGAACGGCTTCATGTATTCGTGAAGGCTAGATCGCACTGAGGTCAGGCGTAGTTAAGGTGACCATTGTTACCCTTGGAATATGAACGCTTTTTTTTCCTGAAACAGCCCGAGATATGGTTGCGGAATTGGTTGATAGCACAATTGCACGCATCGTCTACTGCGTGTACGTATGGCTGAGCTTACTCAATGCGCAGTGCATGGCTGTAGATTGTAGGAAGTGAAGACACCTTGATGTCCGTGAGGCCTGAGTAAGGAACATCTCAACCTGAACCGAAATCTCTCTTCACACCGATTGATCCAGACAATTGCTAGCATTCACCTCGGTGGTGATTGCAGTTACAGCACGAATGAATAGTGAAGAGCAAGTGACATCACCAGGCTGAGCATCATGGGAGCCTTGCGCTACCAATGTTACGGATGCATGCACCTCACGACCTTGCGCCACAGAGTTGAAACACGCGCCAATCTTGGTGTTTCCCAAAGTGTGCACACAGGGTCCAAGGCCAATGCAAGTTTTGCCGTCTCCTGGCAGAGATGAGCTTGAGGTATGGATAGCCAAAGACAATGAAGGAATCGGCAGATATTGGTTGAGTTTTCCATTCACGGCGTCATCCCCATTGGAGGTTGGAAAGAAGATGTACTGGGTCTTTCCGCGATGTATCGCATGACGTCTTCTACACACAAGAAAAGGCCACATGGGTGTACACCATGGTGTTCTAAATATAGGAGTGTCATCCGCCACTTGGCAGTGGATGCACCGGTTTGGTTGAAACAGGTCCAATGAAGCCCATCGTGATCGATGAAGAGGTCGAGAACGGCGACGTTCCTGCCGTCGATGGAGCTGGGACTACGTCGCTGTTGCCGCACAAAGGTTCGCCGCAAAAGAAGAAAAAACCACTAGTCTATCGAAGCCACAGCACCCACACAACGGCCAGACAAGACGCCGCCACAGTTGCCATGCAACCTCTTCTTCAGCATATTCAACAACTCTCACCAAAGGGCCAACAACATCGTTCGGCCACGATGGCACACATCCCCATGATCCAACATCACAAGCGGCCAAGGGCCAAACCCAAAGCCAACCACCACAAACCGCACGATGCGAACTGGGATATCAGTATCTTGAACAAAAGCTGGCAAATCTCGGACGACATGAAGCGGTCCCTGCCAGCTCTTGTCCAGAGCAACCTTCGAGCAGCCCGGGGGAGTTCTGCCCCAACCGCAGACCAACGATTCCTCGTCTCGACCAAGCTCGTCGTACCAACAATGAAAGTCCCCATGCAACGTACGTACGTGCCCTGTTCAGGACCATCATCGCAGCCATTGTAACGTAGCCATGGGCGTGTCGGCATCGGCAGAAGTTCTTCAAGCGCAACTCCTCATGGACGAAGTGAAAGACGACGCCCTCGAGAAGCTGACCGACATGGACCGTCGCAAGTACTCCAGCGCATTGAACCAATGTCTAGGATGCTGTCCTTAGCGTTCTGCAGGTACTTTGGCGCATCGGGCAAGGCCGACATGCGCCAAGTCACGAGCAAAATGGCCTCTCAAATGTACCTGTTCACGTCGGTCGAGGATCTGCTCGAGACGAACCTCGATTTTGACCAGGTAATCCAGCCTCGGTCGCGACCTGTCAGCTACCATTGCGTAGCTCGAGCCTTCGGACGACTCGGTCGGAGTTTTCGCGGGCCCATTGACCGCCAGACACAAATACACCGCCATGTGCTTGATCGCCAAGCTGCCACCGTCCATTCGCCTCATGATTCGAAACCACACGGGGCCGGAAATCAATGTGTCTCACATGGCCATGGGCGACGACATGTGCAAGGTACGACCAACGCCGTCCCGAGAGTTGACGGACTGGTTTCTGCCATTAGATCTTTGCCCAGTGCTTGTCGGACCTGCCCATGGTGACCAGCTTGAATGTCCGCAACAACCGACTGACGGACAGCGGCATCGGCGCCCTCGTCCACGTGTGCTTGAACAAAGACGACTTGACCATGCTTGACCTGTCCGAGAACAAGGTTCGGACGACAGGATATCGCATGAGCTTCTTGTATCGTGTACAGGTGGATGGGGACGCCGCGGCGGCACTGGCCGAGTACGTGGCTGCGCCGTCTTGCGCCCTCACGGAGCTCCGCATGAACATGAGCGATGTCGACGATGGCGAAGTCCTCGGATTTGCACAGGCCCTGCACACCAACACATCGTTGCGGACACTCGAGTTGTCTCGGAATTTGATCGGCAACGCCGAAATGATGAACGTGGTCAAACCAGACATGATCACCGGTTCGGCACCACACTCAGCCTCGTAATTGCCAGCAACGCTAGCTAAATCGTGTCCATGAGTCATGTAGGAGGTGAAGCGATCGCAGAAATGCTGTGCAACAACAGCTTCCTGACTAAATTGGACCTGTCTTGGAACATGATTCGACTCAACAGGTACAACAATGCGGCGGAAACTTCTCCATCCGTTGTGCTGACGGCCGTCGTGTTGTAGCGCGGTGGAGCTGGGCAAAGCTCTCGCGGTCAACAACGGGCTTCGCGAACTCAATTTGGCCTACAACGCGTTTGGAAACGACGGCACGCAAGCGATAGGCATGGCTCTGCACAAGAACAACTGCCTGCAAATTCTGGACTTGAGGTTCGCCAACACACGTGATCGTGTGGCTCTAAGCGTTGGTGGATGGACGACAGCCACAACAATATTCCGTGTCAAGCCGCATGGGTCATTGCTCAGTCGCTGCAAGTGAACGACTCGATCGATACCATTATTTTGGACGGGAACCCGTTGGGAAAACTCGGGTGTCAAGGCCTGCTCCATGCCGTCGCCACGTCCAGCAACCGAAGCCTGTCGATTCCTATGATCGGATGCAACTTTGACCTCTTCGACCCCAACAGCTTCAACCCCGAGGAAGCGTCCGGGCAGTACGACCTGAACTTGAGGTGCGATTCCGAGTTCGTTGAGGGCCACGACCCAAGAATCGGACGTAGTATTCCGTACGAGCGATCGATTTTGCTCGAGCTCGTTCGGTGCGCCAGCACAAAAGTTGGGTGTAAATTCATCTCGATGGTGCACGTGCTGGACAAAACGTCCAAGACCATCCATGTCGAATGTCGGGATGCGCCGAAAACGGCGGTGGAGGTACGAATTGGAGCTGGCTAACAAATATGTTCGGGAACCGTCCATTGCGTGGCGACGTGGGTGGCTGTCGAAATATATGCCTGTGGTCCATGTTTAGCATGATGGATGGACGACGTGCGTAGTTGTCGAGGCGCCGGAGCAGCACCAAAGCTCGCATGTTTGCGTCGAAAATGAACCAAACAACTCTGGAAGCCCTCTTCGACGACTTGGACAAGGACCACTCTGGGGCCATTGACGCCATCGAGCTCGAAAATGGTACTGATTGTCCCGACGGACTACACTTTGGTTGACGCGGTGCATGTCCAGGGATGATCAGCATGGGGATCGAACCCGAAGTCGGCGAAGCCGCGCGATTGATTGCCCGCTTTGACATCGACGGCACAGGTTGTCCCTCTCCCCTTCATGTACACCAATCACGCTCACACGGACGATGGACGACGGCAGGCACGATCGAAATCAACGAGTTCATGGAACTGATGGGGTCGTTTAACGTCATGCCCAAACCAAAGCGCGACTTGATCGACTTGGCGACAAATCGGCCGTTTGAAGTGCCGCTGACCGGCCAAATGCTCGTTGAGTTTGTCGACTTGCACATCCCGTCCGAGCAGCAGGAAGCCCATACACGGGAGAGCGTCGGCCACCTCATCAAGAACCTCAAGGACAACCACTCGCACGCTCAAATGCTGGCCATGGCCAAAAACGGTACGTCGGTCCGCACGTTCGAATCGAGGGTGGATGGCCGACCGACTGACTGGCAATGATGGGTGGCAGGCATGTACTTTAAAGAGAGGGAGGCTCAGATGATCATCGACTCGATTTTGGATGGCTCGGACGTCGTGCAAGCAATGGCATCGATTCTACCCCACATGATCGACGCGTCGAATGCGTGTCAACTGATTGAATGCAATGTCACGGACGTGTCGCAGCGGCTGCGGTGTGTCCCGCTCCGCCAACACAACGTCCTGACGTCGCCGGACTAGGCTTCAGCACCTCCTTCGGTTCTCGTTTGGCCCGATCGTTGGGCTTTGCACGGGCCACTACCGATTGGAAATGGCCGAGCCGTTGGATCGCATCGCGGCCAAGAAACTCATGGAAATCAGCAACAAGACCATGCTGTGGAAGAAGCGCAATGACTTGACCGACACGTCGCAGCACAAAAACTTTCAGTGCTTTCGCAACGAGTCGTTTAATGGAAAGCCCATTGTCCTGGGTATGTTTGTTGGCGGCTGGTTGCGCGACTTTTGATCGTGGCGCAGAGAATGCCTTTTGCGACAAAATACCCAAGTTTGGCGTCCTCGAGTTTGACTTTGTCCACATGGCGAGCCGGCCCCTACGCCAACCAGGCACGTGCCCCGAAGCATCGATTCGTTCGTCTTGACGTTGTGGCAGGGCAAGCGGACATCCAGCCCATGTCGACCAAACGGTTCCAGCAGTTCCTCGACAAGATGCAAGCGGTGGGGCTCGACTTGAACCCGCATTGCCAAGTCCCGCACTGCTACCGCGCGCTCTCGGACAACGTGTACACGCAAATGCTAAAGATGCAAAAGAATCGTCAGCACATTCACTACGGCGCCGGGCTCGCGGCCGTAGCCGAAGCCACGCTTCTCGGCGAAAAGGTGTTCGACCGACGTTGTCCATGCACTCATCGACGAGGGTGTAGACCACGATCAGTGTGCGGCGCATGATCATGGAGCTCAACTACCTCCTCTCGTCCCGGTGGATTAGCGTGAAACAGACCATTCGGTTCCTCACGATGTGGCCTCGCGTGTTTCAAGCTGCCCGTCTCGATGTCGTCCTCATTTTCTTTGACCGAATCACCGACGTGTACAACTTTCAGCAGGTTCGTCGTTCCAACCCGTCGATTTCGTGTTCACGAAACAACAACTGAGCGCATGTCCGTCGTGCTTGCAGGTGTTTCCTCTGCTTACCGACGATGAAATCGCTCAGTTGTTGTACCGCGTCGGGTGGCTCCATGTGTGGAGCCCGCTCGTCCCCGACATTTACTACGAGCTCGACTTGGCCATCTACGAACAGCGAGAAGTCGCCAAGATGCTGGTTCAACTGGCGCTGAGCGAACCGGTACTACGTGAGGTGGCTGGGTTCTACTGACACGATGCCAGGGCGAAAACTGGCAAAACGAAACGTACGGGTGGAACCGCGGCGACCCCATTCCCGGGTGGCAGCTCAACCAGTCGTGGTTGGGCGAAGGCAACTTTCCAGAGAAGGGGTATTTGACATTGGACTACTACTCGGGCGCGGACCGTGGCTGCAGTACGATGCCCGCTGCGCCACGATGCCAGACAGCCGAATGAATTTCGATGCGTAGGTCCCGTGTGGCACACTCGCGTGGCCATGTGCAAGAACGTCTTGGCCGTGCCACCATCCCCACCTTACCTGAACGAATTCATCCACCACACGACCACCCTGACGCTCAACTCGGTTCGCGACTTGACGCCTAAACCTGTCGTCGCGCATGCTATCCAACCCAAGAAGAAACCATAAGATGTCGAGCACGTCGACGGCTCTTCAGGATGCATGAACGAGGTGGCTGTCGTGATAAGTGATCCAAGTGGGTCGAGCGAAAGCCATGCCAAATAATTCCACGGCAGCCATGTACGTGTGACGTGGGGGTGTGCAAGTATTAACACACGAGGTTGGTGGAGCTTGGTGGCATGGCCGAGTGGCCATCGATTCCGATGGAGCTGGCATGCACTTGCAATACACGGCAGGATGTTTTATTGAGTGTCGCTGGTACGACATCCACGAGATCTAAGCAGTTTGAATCAAGGGGGAGCTTGGCGCTTCAGGGAGATCCGTGTGGCCGCGGTAATCGGGGCCGTTGGTCGTGTATTTGGCAAAGATCGAGTCGACGAAGAGAGGGGTGAGGCCAAACTCTTCGAGCGAATACTTGAGCTCTCCGTACTTGCCCTGTGGGTCGAACAGCGATGAGCTCACACCATCATCATGGCATCCATGTCCAATGCGACAGAGTAGTTCACGATCGAGACATACCTTGGGTTTGTCCGACAAGTACGCTTGCATTTTCTCCACAAACTCGTCCGTGACGTCCTTGTTCCACTTGGCGTACAACGACTTGACGACTTGAATCGGGTCCGCCACGAGTTCTTCGTACGTGACATCGATAACATCCATGGACTTGGACGATCGGGCATCGTGCAAGGCTGCTGCCTTTTCGCTGCACAGGTCCAGCGCGACGCGGCCCACGTGCTTCTTGTCCAGTGCTTTGCCTTTCAACGCAGGGTGCATGGCACGCAGCAAATGCGTGGCACTAGAGAAAACGTTGACGAGGTGAAGGCTTGTATGGTCTAGGCTGTACCTCGACGGCACGACTTCGGTCATCGGGCGGTGCAGGACCACCACGCGGGCATCCGGGAACGCGACCCGCAACTGAGGAAGGTGCGAAGCGTGAAATGGCGCCTTGAGCAGCCATGACGTTTCAATCGAGGTCGACGGCGTCGTCGACGGGTTGGCCGGTTCGTTGGCTACATCCTTCAAAACATCTTTGTCCGAGGGGGTATCGACAGCTTTTTCCACGGTCGCTTCGTCCGACGATGTCGAGTTTTGGTTTGTTTGCAGCATTTGCAAGTACCGGCGAAGGTACCCGTACACGTTGGACGAGTTGGGCAGCGCGAGAAGCCGTCGCCGCGCGGCATCCCCAAGGACCTGATTCACCAAGACGCATCAGACCATTGACCAAGGATTTGTACTTGACCGTACCGCTGCATAAAACGGAGACGGCATGACATGCTGGCCGATGACGCTGTCGTCGCAGAAGCTAATGGGGTCCATGTATTGAACCGCCACGAGGGACTCGTACAATTCCGGCGTCAACCGGTACGTGCTCTGCCATCCGTGGTAGCTGCGGTTATGCCAGATGTGCGCCGAATCGACAGCACCAGCTTTGGGAGGGGCCACGGGGGAGTATGCCATCGCTTCCGACTCGTAATGGCGCGGCGCACGGAGAGTCGGGTCAAGGGCCAAGAGGTTGTACAACAAATGCTGTCCAGTGCGCGGCAAGCCGGTAAGGACAATGGGCGCTTCGATCTTTTCTTGGAGAACGTCGGGGTGCTCCACAACGTACTCCATGAACGCCTTCCGGGCCAACAGCGACGCCATCAGGTCCTTGGTCACCATGTAACGACCATAAGGGGACAACGTCGGGGATTTTGCGAGGTCGTCGATGACGGCGTCGAAGAGCTCAATGGTAGTAGCGGGGTCACCAAAGAACTCTTCGGCCTCTTTCGGTGTTGCTCGGACGAGTTCCTTGAGTTTATCGACCGGGATGGCAAACATCGTGACGCCAAACACGCGCTGGCTCACGTTGGCCACTCCGAGCAGGGTCCAGAGCCACCAGTGGCTGAATGCGTACGCTTTGAGGATCGTCGGGTCGGGTTTCTTTTCCTTGGGGGCGACACCGAGCAGGATGCAGGCCAAGTAATACACAAACACAAGGAGGCACACGACGTTCAGGATCATGTACACGTCCTGCACGCTCAGCGCGAGCAGTTCGTCCTTGATTGAGTTCCAAATCTCTTCCGACTTCATGGCGAATTCGACACTGACGCACCGTCGCCGCTGCGAGCTAGAAGATTTGCCAGAGGACGATGTTCGACGTCCGGCGAAAGGATGGATACGTCAGGGGTTCGAATTTCGAACGGGCGCCGTTTCACATGTAACTGGTTGGCAGTTACGGAAAGGCGGCACGAGCCACACAGCATGATGCACCCGCCTTGATGTCGTGTGTTTTATTCGTTAGGTCATTGCAAGAGGCTCTGAATGAGCCGACGATTCTTCTGCTCCATCGTTTGTGGCTGGAAAGTGCACTCGCTCAGCTCCTTGGCGTCCCTTTCGGCCTTCACCTGCTCTTGGCGAGCGCGGCGACGCTGATCGTACGACAGATTGAATGGTTGGGGCACGGTATACGCCCGAGGAGTGAAGTCCCGTGTGTTGGTGAAAGCTTTGGCTTCGCGCTCTCTGGAATGGACCATAAGGAGGAAGTGCCACGACATGCTGACACGACGTACTTTAGCTCCGCTTCTTGTCGCTTGGCGAGTTGTTTCAGTTCCAAGAACCGACCGAGGCCCCGGACTACCACGGGTGCCCTCGACGGTCTTGGCGTCGGTCGATTGATGGCGGGGGCAAACGTGCACGCTTGTAGCTCTTGAAACTCCAACGAGTTCCGCTGGTCTTCGAGCTTTTGACGTCGCATGATTCGTGCTTGCTCGATTTGCTGTAAGCACGTCTGCAACCACAATTAAAACATCTCTGGACAAGATCCTTTGTGTGTGCTGATTACCTCTGGATTCCACACGCTCGTGCGATCGAGGTCAGGGTCGGCGGCCACGAGTGCCGGGCGGAACCTGCACTCCGCTTGCTCCTGGGCATCCATGTCCCGCACCACGCGGGATCGAATGGTTTTTGTCGATGGTTTCTATTCACACACGAATGAGACTCACAGTTGGACGTTGCGCTGCCCAAACTTGAGCAAGCTTGTGGATCGACGTGGGTTGGCCGAGGGCTTTCGACACTTTGTTCAACACTGGCTTGTGGCTGAATTTCTCGTACTTTTCATCCTCGAGGCGCTTCTTTGCCAGCTCTCGTTGCCGCGGCTCCTGTGTCCGTCGTTCCATAAGGCACAAGCTACGACAAGACAAAAATCGCCAACAGCACCAGTACCTCGTACGTCATGCGATACAGCTGAGCCTGTTTGGACTCGACCAAACGCTTGGGCCGAGTGAATTGCAGCACTTGGTTCGAGTTTCCAATACACGGCTGAAATGGTTTTTCCTCAGCTTGCACTCTCTCCTCGAGGGCCAGCTTTGCCTCGAATTTCTGCTCCAGTTGCGCTTGGAGCAACTGCTGCCTTGTGACAAAGTCCAGCTACAATCGTCGCACATGTCAGCGATTCCCCGTGCAAAAAAATACGACGACACCACTACCTTGAACTCGGGCTTACGTTCCACGATGGCCTGGCTGCGGTCGTTCACACAAGGGGTGAACGCTGGCTCGTCCTACAAAATGATGCAAACGTAAAAATCCCACACTCTTCGGACAAATGGACGAACCAATGCAGCATAATACGCTTGTATTTGAAGCTTCTTCTCGGCGCTCTCTTCCGCATCTTGGACGAGACGAGCGGTCACATCGATCTTGGACAAGTCGTGGGCGAGTTTTTGGCTGTGCGGGTTGATCGTGGGTGTAAAGGTGAGTTGGGTCTCGGCTTCGATGGCGTGTTCGAGCTGCCGCAGCATTTCTTTCTGCCAGCAACAGCAGCGTTTAGTCATGGACGAATAAAACGCATGTGCTCGGGAAAAGTGTTGCATACTTTGTGGCGGTGGAGCTCGGGAAGTCGAGTGTGAATGGGTTTTTGGGCGGTGGTTGCGCCGACCGCAGACCGATTTCGATTGATTTGGGGCTTGAATGTACACGTCGCGCGCATGTGCTGGTCATCCAGAACTTGCTTGACCTTTTCCCGAAGTTCGAATCGCAGCGACCCTTCCCCATGCAACCGTTCCGTGAGTTCGTCGAGTTTGGCTTTCTTGTGGGGACTCCAAGATGGCGGTGGCTTGGCCGTCTTAGCGCTTTTTGTTGCTTTTTCGGGCGTCCTTAGCGTTGGGTGTCCTAAACGCACGAGTCGAGCGCCATGTCATCATGTACAGCAAGGTCACACCACCAACACACCTCGTGGCAAAGGACCTCTCGAATTTGGCAGAAACGAGCAGGAGGTGGTAAACGCTGCCATGTCTTGGGCAACTTTGGCCTTTTCGCGCACCGTGTAATCGACGGATTGAGCTAGTTGTTCCATACGCTTCTTCTGTTGAGCGGCCGACGTCCTTGATAGCGCATGTCGCACATGTGATGCCGACGCGACAGGCTGTCCATCCGAGCACAACTTATTTTTTGACGTCAACGAAAGCCGTGTACCTCGGACAAACGTAGGATGAATGGGTTAGTCGGCGACGGATTGGTGACCTCTGCTCGCAACTTTCGAGATGACGGTCTTTTTGTCGGTGCCTTGGCTTGGGTCGACGTAGTCTCGGCGGAACTCGGCGAGATTATAGATGTTTCGGGTTGTCGAGCTGATACAGGTCGATCTGTCTAGAAGCGCGAGACTACTTGATCAGCGCTGCATTAAACTTGAGACGAAAATCGCACCGATTCAAGGTCTCCGTCATATCGCACGCTTTTCTTTGGTGGCCGTGAAGGATGTGCTGGGGCGGTAGCAGACCGCTCTGCGTTGGAAGCAAGACTTGGGGTCGAGAGCGGGAAAGAGTCCACGTGCTGCTGGCTGGAGCTCTCGCTCAAGATGGAACAGCGGTCGAACGACAAGTGAGCATGCTCTGTCGACGGCGGAGGCGGCAGTTGATGGATGTCTGATGCAAAAAAGAGGGTATCGTCGCCATCTGCGTGCTGCAGTTCCTTCAAGAAGGTCAAGCTGTCATCTATTCCACCGCCAGAAGTCAACACACTGCGTCCACATGGATCGATCGTACCATCGTCGCTACCAAAGGCACGATGTGCATCGCCGTCATCGCGATGGCAGCGTTTTGATTCAAATGCATCGTCAGCGTCGTGGATATCGAGACTGTCAAACTCTGGCTTGGCGCTGAGTGATGGGAGTGGGAAAAATGCCGTCGAGTTCAAGAACGATGACGAGGCGACTGCGTCGATTTGTTGACCATCCGCCTTGCGCTGGCGCATGGCTGTTCGCTCGGCATTGAGCTTGGCAAGAATCTCTTTCCGACGTGCTTCGGTCATGGTGAGGTTGGTTGCGGACTTGTCGAGTGCAGTTGGAGTAATGAGATAGGCCTCGGCTGCACGCAGCTCATCTTCGACCTGCCCAAGATTAATGCCAAGCCTCGTCTGGGCGCTCATGCCGTGCCGCGGCCTCGTACGATTCTCCTCTGGGAAGTGTGGCATTCCAAATCGAACATTTGGCCGCGCATCGCGATCGACACAATCTTGAAACTTCCGACATCGCGGCGACAACGACAGCAGTGGATTCAGATGCATGGGGGCGGGGTCTCAACATGGAAATGGTGCTCTATTGGGAGGCTCACGAGCCAAACACTCTCCACAGCACGGTGCTTTATCGGACTCCGATTGTAGGCCAAAAGACATGTTGTCGACAACTTTGCCCAGATACATATTGTTAACTTTTGTGACTGGAAAATTGTGCTGGTCATCATGAAAAAATCTTGGTGTCGCATTCGAACCCTTTTACTCCAAGCTCGGCCAGGTTTGGGGCTACCCTCGGCAAGGCAACCATCAAAATACTGTTTCGCGAGTCTTCCGCTGTACATCGCTCGCGATTTTTTCTCGAGCTCACTGGGGCATGTCGTTCCGTGGGGAATATAGCAGCACTGTTGTCCCTGTAGTATTTCAACATGGAGTTCGTTTCCAACGACGTATGTTGCAACACTGTATGAGGCCATCCAAAACGTCTTAGGGGGTTTTCGGAGCGACTTTTGCGTCAGCGATTTTTGGAGTTCGTTCGACAAACAACGCTGACATTTCATCGACTTTGGGAACATTCAATCGACAAACACAATTGGTCAAAACAATAGCCAATGAATAATGTCCATTCATGACCATCCAAACGATTATTGTCATTCATCGACTCGAATGTCGCCGCCCACGTCACTGAAGTCTCCACCAATAAAGCGTGCCGCCAAAGTCAAGAGGGCCGTGACGGCTGAAAAGTCTGCCAAGACTGTGTGGACCGCCGACATGGTGTCGACGCTGTTGGATCGGCGTTGCGATGACTTCGCAGCAAGCTTTGAACTACATAGAAGCGCAGCTCAATTGTCAGTCTTGTGGGGAAAGATCGCTTTGGCTGTAAATGTACAACATGGAACAAACATACCAGCGTTGGCAGCAAAGAACAAGTATTCCAGCCTTAAGCGCGAGTACTCTGCCATCCGAATGGCCGAGAAAGAAACTGGAAATTGCCCCCCCTGTGGTGTACCCCATTTATTGGGACTGTCTTGTTTCGGCTCTGGGCAGCATGGACGGCCTCGGTCATGTCGAATACACGTTTGGAGCAGGCCGCAACGTGGAAGAGAGCGATGGAAGTGATGATGCTGACACTGAGCGAGACGACAAGAAACATCAATCGATTTTTGATGCCGAAGTTGCGCGACAGCGTGTAAAAAGACCAAAAAAGTTGGACATTGGGCAGAGTCTTGTTGCGAGATAATTCTACTTTGTAGGCAGAACTGGCTCTTTTGTTCTTCTTTGTAGGCAACACCGTCATTAAATTCGATTTAACATTTGATGCACAGATTGCAATAAACAATGTGGTAATAGTAGTAACCTCCGCTGTTCGGGACTATGGCGAAATGGGGCGAATCCCTCAACTGGGTACTCCGGGTAGATACATAGCAGTTTTTCAAGCAAACGCCGTGTCGCTGGTCACTGGCAAACGCAATGGCCAGGTACGGCGGTCGACAGGCAAAGTGAGGTTGATGATTCATCTTGGCGTAGGTGGAGAATCGGCAGCTCCGCGAACACTTGGCCCAAGCTCTTGGTGCGTGCACTCGTTTCTGGCGCTGAAAGGCTTGTGCGTTCTGACATGCGGTCCACTAGCGCGACTCGAGCAAGTACAACATGAAAACCTCGTGCTGCATCAACTCGACCTGAATCTGCACACCGAAGTTGCGTCCCTCCGGTTTCTGGTGTTCAACCCCGACCCCCAAGCTGCTGCGGCCATCCGTCCTCCTGGACTATAGACTCCCTTCACTAGCAAGAAACGTCAACTTATAGAGAGAACTCCCTTCTTCATGACTACTAGTATTGCGCCGCCGCCGCCCCCTGTCGTGTTATTGTGCGGATAAATCCGGATACCACCTTGTTTTTTAATTTGCAGTGTTCTATACATTTTCCTTGAGAAATTTTCCACTGGAGAAAAATTGATGATCGCTCCGATGACAATGCATCCGTCGACCCTCCCTTTTCACAACCTGATGACGTGTCGGCGGCGCTGCGGCGCGTTCGTTTTGCTGAGGTGGCAAGCTCATCAACCGCGTCGACGAAGGACCGACGAACGTGACGTACTTTAACCAGAGGCTCGAGGTCCCTGCCATGAAATCAAACACACTGATACTGTCGATCTGAACGACGTCAACGATTCACATGGTGGCGGTAGCACTACTCAGCTGGCATGATGCAGTCGTGGAACAAGCTTTGTATCCAGGGAGGATTCATCGAAGTGGCGGCCAAGCTGCCCGGCGCCATCAACAACGTCCCGGATGATGTCCACGAGAGCGTCACGACAAATCCGAACGCGGTCGGCGAGTTCTGGAAGGACGGCGTCAAAACGAAACTCACGTCAGGAGACCGCATCAAGGACGGCGCGTACTACTTGACATGGCCTGGCATTTGGCTCCTCGGGAACCTCGGCCGCGCACTCTATTCGGCCTCGACCACGCGCATGTGGCCATGGACGTACAACGAGTGCAACGGCGACTTGTCACCCCATCAAGCGATCTCCGCATGCGACCCGAATCCTGGGTACGGGCTCAATCCGAACCAAGGCCGTGGCGTGCCGGAGATGGACATTTTGGAAGGCGACGGGGCAGCCATCTCGTCGTCGATTCAAATCGCACCCGGCATGCCAGACAACTACCGTCGCTTGCCCGTTCAAGAGCCAGATTTGACGTGCCATAGCCACTCGTTTTTCGTCACGAATGGCTGTGTATGCAGCAAGAACTATCACACGGTGCTGTCGGTCTTGATTGCCATCGTCGA